AGAGGGAGGAGGGGAGAGAGAGGGAGGGAGGGGGGAGAGGAAGGGGGAGAGAGAGCGAGAGGAGAGGGAGAGGGGGAGAGAGGGAGGGGGAGAGGGAGGGAGGGGAGAGGAGGGGGGGGGGAGAGGGAGGGAGGAGGGAGGAGAAGGGAGGGGGGGAGAGGGGGAGGGGGGGGGGGAGGGGAGAGGAGAGAGGGAGGGAGGGGGGGAGGGAAGGGGGGGAGAGGGGAAGGAGGGAGAGGACATTCCATGCCAACAGCCCCTCTCTCTGGGATTTCCCGGTGTAGATGGGATGTGTGAGGGCCGAGAGACCCGACACATGACTGCCAAGTGCAGGGCAGGCCCTCACGTGCCCGAGCCCAATCTGAACAGCGCTCGGCGCATCCGCAGTAGCGGCAGCCAGAGGAGAAGCGAATCGGAGAAGGAATCGGGTCTGAAGCCCACCTTGAAGCAGCTGCTGAACGTGTCTCGAAGGCACGTGAACTGGGATCAGGTCATTCAGCAGGTGGCCAAGAAGAAGCAGGAGCTCGGCAAGGGCTTGCCCAGGTTAGTGAGCTTAATGCTGAGGCTTAGCTTAGCAACAGGGGCTCTTCAGCCCATCGAGTCTAAACTGGTGCTCGCATTCTCCTCCACTGGAGTTCACCACTCTCTTAATTCCCTTGCTATTTGTTCCCCTGGGTTGCTGTCACCTCACACAGCACCCTGAGGTGTGGCTGACTGCTTATTGCGTGTCTTCCTCGCTGTACGGAGATTTGGAGATACAGGAGACCACCAGCGCTCGAGTCTCTGCCCTGCTCCCTGCTTTTCTCAGTCAGTCTGGTGCAGGGAGAGGGGGTAGGTCTGGGCTCAAGGCACACAGGAGGGTCACAACCTGGGGAGGGTGGTGGGATCAGGGCCCAGGTCTGGGTTTGAGGTGTATGAAGCTAGGGGACGTGGGAGGGAAGAGGGGTGCTTGCGTTAGACTTGTGGGAGCGGGGGTTCTGGGTTTGAGGCTTGGGGGCGGGGGGGTCTGAGATGGGGTTGGTTGTCTGGTGTGGGGGGTGGATAGTCTAGGTTTGAGGAGTGGAGGGATGGTGGTCTGATGTGGGTGCAGGGTTGAGGCCACCGTGTACTGAGGACTCTGTGGTCTTGTTTACAGGTTTGGGATTGAGATGGTGCCGTCAGTACAGACCGGGCAGGATTCCCTGGATCTGGATGAAGATGAGAAGCCTGGCTCTCTGGAAGGCTTCCACTGGGAGGGAATCTCGGTCACTCCGGGCGGGTCCTTGCGGAAGCGCAGCCTCTCTGAAAGCAGTGTGGTGACGGACAAGACCTCCGTCTACAGCCTGTTTGTCGACGCTCCAAAGGCAACAAGGAGAGTCCAGAGTGGAGCCAGTGGTCACCAGCCTGCAGGCAGACAGCAGCCTCCCAGTCCCCTGGGACCGAAGGCAGGGAACGACCAGAACACCAAGGAGGGTAGTGTGTGCGGGCGAGCATCGTGCCCAGTGCAGTGTAATCAGCCAGACTCCCGAGCCACTCCAGACCACACCTCCCTCACGGGCACCCAGCAACTGCTGCCCGGTCAAGTCGGAGCAGGACGTGGAACTCCCTGGAGAACGGAACAGCGCTCAGGCGGGAAAGCAGGACGCTGGGGAGAGGAATAGGGAGCTGCAGGTGGCTACCCCCACAGGGTTGGGGGCTGTGCCCGGGTCGGTGGCTGCCGATGGAGCCACGGACAGCAGCTACACGTCTGGGGGCGAGCTGAACGACACCCAAGCCATGGGGAAGAAACGCAGAGCAGGAGTGGTATGTGAGGGCTCAGGGTGTGACTCAGGGAACATCGATGATAATAACAATAATCCTTGCATTTGATACAGCATCTTATCACGTTTTCAAAATGTCTCAAAGCGCTTCACAGAATATACTATAAAATGAATTGCCTGTATTTTGTGGACGAAACGCGGCACAGCAGTGTCTACAAACAGTGGTGGATTGAGTATCCAAATTATTTTTTTTGAAGGGTTATTACCTCCGGAAAAGTGATCCGCCAATCGACTAACAACCGGGTACCTACTTACTGCTTGGTAATCAAGCGTGTGGAATAAGGAAACTTGTTCAACATTTCGTCGCCCAGGAATTGAACCCAAGTCCTCTCGCTTGCGAGGCGAGTGCTCTAACCACTAAGCTGCTGTCTGGCCCATTGGGTCAGTGCCACCCTTCAGCAGAGATGTTAAACAGAGTTGTTCAGATAACAATATAATCTTTGCGTTTGATATGGTACCTTTCACTCAGCAAAATATCCTAAAGTGCTTTGGAGGATTCATTGTAAGCTGTAGTGACTGTAGGAAATAGATACCAATTTGAGAAGAGAGCGTTTGCTGACTGCTGATTCTGCAGATAAATTTTTTTTTTTTACCTCCTTGCTGTGTCTAATCCCCAAAGTTGCATAAAACTTTTTTTTCTCTTCTGGTAACATGATATTTCCTTACTCCACACAACTTTGCTTACCTAGAAGTAAGTAGGAACCTGCTCGTTAGTCGATTGGCAGATCCCTCCAAAAAATAATAATTTGGTTACTCAATCCACGACTGTTTGTGCGACACTGCTGTGTGCAATTGGCTGCTGCGTTCCACCCACAAAATACACAGTCAATTCACTTTATAGTGTATCCTGTGAAGTGCTTTGGACGTCTCAATGACTTGATAAGGCGCTATATCTAATGCAAGAACTATTATTTATTATTAGCTAAATTGGGCTTTCGTTTCTCCTCTTGTCCTCTCTTCCTGACTTCTGTCTGCCCAACTCTGTCACTGTCTCTACACACACTCGGTGAGTAAGCAGGGGCTCCTTGGGGCTGAACTGGTGACGTGTTTGGCAATAGAATGTCAGAATTGAGCCAGTTCTCTGTAACAGTCTCCCAGTCTGGTTCCTGAGCCAGGCGGCCCGGAGTATTCCAGGGTACTGCTGATGACAGCACAGCCCAGCCTGGCTCATCGGCAGCACCTTAAAAGGGCAGACCAGTCACTGAGGGGCAGGAAATCCTCACACTCAGCTCCTGTTAACCCTGCAAGCCAAAGCAGGGTGGTGCTAGCAGCAGGAAGTTTGCCAGATAGCGCTCTCAATGGTTTTAGCTGGTTAATCCCCAGCACCCAGTACCTCAACACAACCGAGCCTGGATTTGCAAACCTGCGCCTAATTCTCTCTGGATAAGATGATTACGGTGCATCTAGTAAGTTTACGCTCCATGCCAGACCAGGGGAATCTCCAGGTGTCTGAGCTCTATCTGGTTTAGAGATGGATTAAGTATGGTTTGGGTGTATACAATGTGTGTCGAACTGAACACCCAACTAACCGATAAAACCTCTCTCTCTCTCATGCAGGATCTTCCATCTCCAGAAGTGTCTGGTTTGGAAAGAAAGAACAAGAGGAGAAAACTAAAAAGCAAGAAAGGTGGGAGCCTCTCTCTGCCAGTCTCAGGCCCTGGGCTCACGCAGTATGGGCCGGCAATAATGCTAAAGAGATGTGTGATGTATTGTCAACAGCAACAACTTGAATTTGCACAGCACCCCTGATGCAGGGTCGTGTCCCAGAGCGCTTGACAGTGGGGGAGCCTGACTCCGAGCCAGGGGGAGGTGAGAAGGTCACAGTAGACATGGTCAAAGAGGAAGGTCTTCAGGCGACCCAAAGGGGAAGCGGGGCAAGGCGAAGGCAATGAGGGAGAGTGTTCCAGAGTTTTGGGGTGTCGTGGTTGAAAGCACGGCCACCCATGGTAGAACGGAGGGCACGAGGGACAAACGGGAGGCTAGAGCCAGTCGAGAAGAGGCAGATGGTAGTGGATTGGTGAGTTAGCAAGTTAGAGAGGAGGGGATGTACCAGGGCGTGAAGGGATTCGTCAATGTTGTTGAGATGGCCTGGCGAGGTGACCCAGTGCCATGTGTTGTTGAGGTGACCTGGTGAGGTGACCCAGTACCATATGTTGTTGAAGTGGTCTGGCGAGGTGACCCAGTGCCATGTGTTGTTGAGGTGGCCTGGCGAGGTGACCCAGTGCCATGTGTTGTTGAGGTGGCCTGGTGAAGTGACCCAGTGCCATGTGTTGTTGAGGTGACCCAGTGCCATGTGTTGTTGAGGTGGTCTGGCGAGGTGACCCAGTGCCATGTGTTGTTGAGGTGGCCTGGCGAGGTGACCCAGTGCCATGTGTTGTTGAGGTGGCCTGGTGGGCCCAGGGTGTGTGTGAGGTGGTCTGGCGAGGTGACCCAGTGCCATGTGTTGTTGAGGTGGCCTGGTGAAGTGACCCAGGGCCATGTGTTGTTGAGGTGGTCTGGCGAGGTGACCCAGTGCCATGTGTTGTTGAGGTGGCCAGGTGAAGTGACCCAGTGCCATGTGTTGTTGAGATGGCCTGGCGAGGTGACCCAGTGCCATGTGCTGTTGAGGTGACAGAGGTGACCCAGTGCCATGTGTTGTTGAGGTGGCAGAGGTGACCCAGTGCCATGTGTTCATAGATCATAGAATTATACAGCACGAAAGGAGGCCATTCGGCCCATCGTGTCTGTGTCGGCTCTTTGAAAAGAGCTATCCAAATCAATCCCATTCCCCCGCTCTCTCTGCATAGCCCTGCAAACTTGTCTTCCCGAAATAATTATCTACTTCTCTTAAAAGTTGTTATTGAGATGGCAGAGGTGACCCAGTGCCGTGTGTTGTTGCCTTACAGAACGGAGCCAGGTGGACCAGTTACTGAGCATGTCGCTACGGGAGGAGGAGCTGAACCGCTCGCTTCATGGGCTGGATGGCAGCCTGCTGCAGGCCCGCACCACACTCCAGAGCGCCTACTTGGAGGTTCAGAGGCTGCTCGTTGTCAAACAGCAGGTACAGTACAGTAAACTACCATAAGACCCATCTCCACAAATCATTTAATGGGGTAAGTCAGCGTGGTCCAAATGGCGGCCCGCGCTTGCCAGAAAGTGCGTATGTGGCAACGAGTAGAGGCACATTGAATGTAATTTTGACCCATCACTTCATGTGCATTTACCAGCTGCACTGTCCTGCACTGCCCTGCAGTGTACTAGTATATTGGTTAAAGCGCTCGAAAGTGCAGTTGATTAAATCGGATTCTGTATGTCTTGTACAGTTTGCCTGCAACTCAGACTTCGGGTAAGTCATATCCAATGTTGTGATCCCAACTGGTGCAACCTCTATGAGTATTACTGTGCCCGCCTAAAGTACAATGCAAGAGTTTCACTTAAACCCCATGGCAATAACTCTCTCTCACAGATCACCATAGAGATGAGCTCTCTGAGAACCAGGAGAATCAGCATCCTGCAGGGACTACAAGGTGCGTGTCAGTATCTGCTCGGGGGTGGGTGGTGTGTGCCTGTCCATGTCTCCACCCTTACGCCTGGTCACTGCTCCCTCCTCTGCCCAGTCATCACTCCCTCCTGATCCTCGTTCCCAGCCACCTCCCTGTGCCGTTTCCCTTACCCCCTCCCCGCCAGGCCCATGTTGTTTTGCTGCTTGTGCAGGTGTCTCTCCAAGTGTACATTCTGCCTGTTTGTTGGGGTCCATCCCTGTGAACACAATCTCCATCACGTCCTTGTTTTCTCCAGAGACCTACGATCCAACAGGCCTCTCCGCCCAACATCCAGGCTGCAGCGCAGCGACCACCAACACAAGTGCCGACCTGGGGAGCAAGACCAAGGCCCCCCTGATCCCAAACCGGGACTCTCCAAACACAGCCACCCCTGTCCCTCAGAGCACCCCCCCTTACCACCCCGGAGCTGCCATCCCAGATTCCTCCATTAAGCAGGAGCCAAGCTCTCCAGCCAAAGATGAGGCCATGACCCTCTCCAGACCCGAGGGTCCAGGGGGCCATGTCACCACAACATTGGGGCAAGCCCACCACACAGCCCAGGCCAGCGGTACGTGAAACACACTGAACAGCTGTGTTAAAGTCGAGTCACTAGCAGCAGAGGCTGATGTGATTGTAGGCTGTGTTATCAGGGCGACAGAGTAGGACAGTTAGGAGGTAAAACAAAACACAAAATACAGCAGATGCTGGAAATCTGACAACAAGAACAGAAGTCGCTGAGCGTTCCCAGCGACTTCTGTTTTTGTTTTCAGAGTTAGGAGGTGTTTGTCCAATCATATCGAGTGCTGTTCAGACATTAATTGGAGTCCTGTTCAGTTTTGGGCACCGATTCTTAAGAAAAATATGGCAGCCTGTTCCGGCGATAGCTCAATGTAGTAATCATTATCCTTGCATTTGATATATTGCCTTTCAAGTTGGGAGGATGTCTCGAAGCACGACACAGGATATACACGTCACAGTTACTGTAGGTTTTTCTGAGCAAACGCAACAGCCGTGTCCCACAAACAGCCATGGAGTGAGGGTGGGGGGATAGGGGGAGCCAAGCGGGCCACGAGGGGACTGAGTGTAAAATAACACAGGGAATTGGCCAGTGGGATAGTGGATGACTCTTCCCCCTGAGGACAAAGGACAGAATGTTAAAATTTTCTCCACTATTAAGCGTCACGGTTGCGTTGTACTCTCTCATTGGAGTCGCAGGTTACTTTATACCGAGTAATCAAGAGGGTTGGGTTGTGAATGTGATCTCCAGCTCTCTAATGTTGGTCTTTTGCTGCAGATGGTGTGGAGCAACCTTCGTCACCATTCCCCATCATCTCTCTTCCCCCGTTGCTGCAGCAGCTGGCAGAGCTGCCGGCACTCAGCTGTGACAAACTGTCCGTTGGAATGGCGGTGGGCAGCGCCGGGAGCAAGTTGTCAGGGAGCAGTGTACTCCCCTCCCCAGCCCACGCCCCCTCCCCAGCCATGGCTCACGCCCCCTCCCTGGCGGACCGTGGCCACTTGCTCGCTGTGTGCAAGAGGCCCGGGCTTCCCCTGGCCGGCAGCCCCTCCACGCTGCAGAAGTGTTCCGGGAAGGAGCTAAGAGCGGGAGGGGAGCAGCTCGACCCCGAGAATCCTGGCAACAAGAGGAAGAAGAAATTCCGCAAGAAGAAATGTGCCCGGGTAGCGCAGGAGCCCGAGAACAGCGACACAGAGCAGGACAGCCATGTCGCCCAGCCTGTCCGCAAGAGCAGAAACAGCAAGAAGCCCAGCAAGCCCAAGGTCAGCACCTCCTCCTGGCAGGGCCCAGAGGGTAGCTCGGTGGCCAGGGAGCAGCGGGAAATGGCCGACTGCGATTTCTCCCTGGAGGTGGTGGAAGTAGCCAAACCACAGCTGGAGGTTGTGGCCGTTGATTCCCTGGAGTCGGGAGATGACAAGCCCGAAAGCCTTGCCCAGCAGCAGCAGCCTGGGCACGGGCTGGGCACGCCCGAGACACCCACCAACGCCGGCTACAACGAAGTCTCATCCACCAGCGAGATGGGAACCAGCTTCACTGACGACATTGAGCGAAGGTGAGAGGCGCCGAGGTAGTCAGAAAGCCCACCTCTTGATCTGTGTGTCGGCCCGGCTCAGTGCTACTCAGCGAGCAAGTGGCCACGTTCCGCCAGGGAGTGGGGGGTGGGCTGGGGAGGGGAGGTTGTGGGTTCAAGCCCCATGTGAGGACTTGGAGCTCACGATCCAGTCTGACACCCCAGTGCAGCGCTGGGGGAGCGATGCATTGTCAAGAGGCTGCGATCGCTAAGGACCACATTAAGATTGGAACTCACTCACTGAGTCGAGGCTGCACACCACTCTCCCGGTCAGGCCTGACTATTCTCAAATAGCTTCAGGACTGAGGTTTGGATTAGGTGGAAGCACTTGGAGATGAGCTTTATCTGAAATCCCACTTTCTCAATTCTTTGGGTACCCCTCAGTGAGCTCAGGTCTCCCAACACATTGTACAAGGGCATTGGTACGGCCACAGTGTTCGGCTCATTGGCTGAGCGGGTAACTGAACTGTGATTGCCTTACGTACGTTACTGAGCAAGGTCAATTGAAAGAAATCTGCTTTACCCCACAATAATAATCTTTGCATTTCATATTGCGCCTTATTTCCAAAAATATACGGTCAATCACTTTACAGCATATTTTGCGAAGCGCTTTGAGAGGTCTAGAAGACGTGAAAAGCGCTATATCAAATGCAAGGATCATTATTATTATCACATGTTGAGCTGGCTCGAAGCACTTCACAAGATTTACTGTAAAATGCAGTAACTGCATGTTGTGGGTATACGTGACAGCCAATTTGCAGACAGCAATATCCCACATACAGCCATGCAGTGAATGAGCAATTTTATTTGAGGGATTGTTGGCCAGGATTCGGTTCTCTTTTCTAAGACTGCTTTGGGCTTTAACGGGCAGTTCAAGTGGACCTCAATCTAACACGTCATCCAAAGCACAACATCTCTGATAACACAGCGCTTCCCCCAGAACTGCACTGAGGTGTCAGCCTGGACTGTGACCTCAAAGTCAATTCACTTTACAGTCTATTCTGTGAAGCGCTTCGAGACATCGAGGAGACGTGAAAAGCGCTATATCAATTGCAAGGATTATTATTATTAAAGTCCTGTTGTGGGGATTAAAGCCACAAATCTTGTGACTCAGAAACGAGAGTGTCAGCCAAGCTATAGAACAACTTGTATACGTAGAATGTGTTTTGCTGGGGTTGGGCCTTGTGTTCGGTTGGGGCTTTTGCTGGCTGGAGTCTCTGCCATGTAGCGCTTTCACCTCCAACACCTTACCTTGTCCCTTCCCTTCTCTTTGTGTTAAACAGTGTGGCCGAGACCCAGACAACAGTGTCATCATTGCTGAAGAGTTCAAAGAACACGTCAGGTACCAAACCCGCAGGGGGACTACCCCAGGGGGCTCAGAGCTGAACTGGCTCCAAGGGGACATGTTTGGCAACAGAATATTGCACCCTCTGTGGTAGTCGCTAGTCTGGTTCCAGAACCAGGCGGGTCCGCAGTACTCCAGGCACTGCTGATGACAGCACAGCCCAGTCTGGTTCGTCGGCAGAACTTGGAAGGGCAGACCAGTCATTGGGGGAAGGGAGTTATCCAACTCAGTTCGGGAAAGCTTGCCCCACAGAGCTCTCAGTGGCAAGCTATGCAGATTTTAGATGGTTAGACTCCAGCAGTTACCCCAACGTACACTCTGGGGTCCCCAAGCCTTGCCTCTTGCCAACCTGTGCCTAATACTTTTCGGAATTAGGTAAACAGGATGCGTCCCTCCATGGTGAGAGTGCGCATTCAATTCCAGACACAGGAAAATTTCCATGGTTAGGTGTTTTACACGTGTGGGACTCTGTCTGGTTTGGGTATTTTGAAGTGGCGATGGGTCTCCATGTATATCAGACACATGGCTGACAAAAAGAAAATGAATTATGGCGTGTTATTGGGCTATACGCCGTACCATCTTGAATTCTGCATGAGGTTCATTGTGTTGATGTGTGAGAAAGCAGATTAAATGCCAGGTTCTGTCTCTTGTTAGAGGTGTCCTCAGAGGCTGGAGATGATGAAGAGGGGCCCACGGAGGGAGCCTTTGAGGGGCACCAGGGAGCAGTGAACGATGTGCAGATACACAACGGCCACCTCTACACTTGTTCTGCTGACAAAACTGTGCGGGTTTACGACTTAGTGGTACGCCAGGACTCCCGTCAGTACATTTGCAATCAAAATATCACAGCATCCCGGCCGGCGGGGGCTGGGGCCAGCGGGGGTCGCGGAGGTGGGCTGGGGCAGGCGGCCTCTTGAAGCTGTGTTCTCTCCTGACCCCAATGTCTTCGTGCTGTTTCAGAGTCGTCAGTGCGTGGGTACATTTGAGGGTCACAGTACGAAGGTGAACTGTTTGCTGATTGTCCAGACACACGGCACCTTCGCTCGACTGTACACAGGCTCCAGCGACCAAATCATCCGCTGCTACAATGTAGAGGTGCGCATGTTTCACAGCAACAAATTCACCACACGTACCAGTGCCCGGCACACAGCTGTTCACACCGCACAGGCTTGCTGGTGATTTTCCTCATGTGAACCCACTCAGTCTAATCCCATTCCTGCTCGCTTCCCCCACACACTTCAATATTACATAATTTGAAAGGAGAAGGGCATTTCTCATGATGTTCTGGCCAATAATTCCCCAAATAAAATTGGTCATTTATTTCAGATGTTGGAAATTGGCTGCCATGTTGATCCACAAAATACAGTCACAATATTTTACAGTATGCCCTATAAGCGCTTTGAAACATCTTCCTGACATGAAAGATGCTGCATCATTTGTAAAATTATGGTATTATCTTGTGAAAGGAGTGCCGGGACTCTGCCTCAAATCCGTTTGCAACAGATTATTCTACCCACTCATTGGTTCAAAGCAGCGAGTGTATAATACTGAGCGGACATCAGGGCTGGTGCGTGTGATACTGAATGTGTAATGGGGCTGGTATGTGCCTAACCACTCTGCTTCTCTCTGGCACAGAGCAGGGAATGTGTGGAGCAGTTTGTGTTATCAGATCGGGTGCTGAGTTTGCACAATCGGTGGCGAATGCTGTATGCTGGCCTGGCCAATGGTTCGGTGATAACGTTCAGTGTTAAGGTAAGTGCTCGGATCTGATAGACATACAGTGCAGTGGGGTGTGCGGGGTATCCTTGGAGCTCAGCTGCTTCAAAGGTGACATATTTGGCCACGGAATGTCAAAGTTCAGTCCACCCTCTGTGGTGATCTCCAGTCTGTTTCCTCAGCCAGGCATGTCCTCAGTATTCCAGGGCTCTGCTGGTGACAGCCCAGCCAGTCCCAAAGACAGGGCTTGGAAGACCAGAAGTCAGATCCCATTAACTCTTTAAGCCAAAGCCCTAACGGGCAGGGTGGTCCTCACTGGACAAGCAGTGGGAAAGATTGCCAGACAACAATATCAATGGCAAGCTATGTGATTTTAGCTGACTAAACTTCAGCAGTTTAGTGTAAGGCTGTGGGATGATGACTGTGACGCTGAGGAGGGTCCAGGCATGGTAAGTGATTCAGTTGGGCTGGGGTTGGGTTTGGAGTTGGGTTTTGGGCTGGGGTTTGGACTGGTGTTGGGCTGGCGTTGGGGCTGGGCTGGGGTTGGCCTGGGGCTGGGGTGTTTAGGGGTATTGAGTTTAACCCTGTGGTGTGTTTGCAGAGTAACCGCCAGTTGGATGTGTTTGAGTGCCACGGGCCGCGAGCTGTCAGCTGTCTGTCCAGCGCCCAGGAGGGATCTCGCAGGCTACTGCTGGTGGGATCCTATGACTGCACCATCAGCGTGCGTGATGCCAAGAACGGACTGTTATTGCGGACTCTGGAGGGCCACACCAAGACAGTGCTGTGCATGAAGGTACAGAGGCCAGTAAACACTGGGGGCCAGGGGGAGCCAACACAACAGTGTCCACGAGGTGACAATATTCTGTGTGTTTCAGGTGGTGAATGATTTGGTTTTCAGTGGCTCCAGTGACCATTCTGTGCACGCACACAACATCCATGTGAGTCTTGCACCGTGCTGGTGGGGGGTGTGGGGGTGGCTTGTACAGGTGTACAGGCACTTAGAGGGCACTGCTGGGTTTGAAGTGGGCTGGAGGGGTTTGGGGAGTAGCCTGGGCCGGGTTTGGGCTGGGTTGGTTTTGGGGGGGTGGGGTTAGGCTGTTTTGGGGGGGTGGGGTTAGGCTGTTTTGGGGGAGGGCTGGGTTTGGGGTGAGTGGGGGGAGGGCTGGGTTTGGGGTGAGTGGGGGGAGGGCTGGGGGGTTTGTGGCGTTTGGTGGAGGGCTGGGTTGGTTTAGTTCAGTGACTTCTCTGGTTTGGCTCTTGTCATGGAGACGGGAGAGCTGGTGCGGATCTACAAAGGGCACAGCCATGCGGTGACAGTGGTCAGCATTCTCGGCAAGGTGATGGTGACGGCGTGCCTGGACAAGATGGTCAGAGTCTACGAGCTCAATGTAAGTCACAGCACAGTAAGGCAGCAACGTGACTGATTGGCTGAGGCAGAGCTAGGAGATTGTGCGAGGGACGAGCAGGAGGCCAGTGCCAGTCGAGCGGAGGCGCTGGGTGGTGGATTGGGGAGTGAGGAGGTCAGAGAGGTAGGGAGGTGCCACAGAGTGCAGGGATTTGAACACGAGTGTGAGAATCTTGAAGTTGATCTGTTTGGTGATGGGGAGCCAGTGGAGCCCGGGCCAGAATTGGTGAGGTGTGGGTACGGAGTTTAGTCCGAGTCAGTGTGCGGGCGGCAGAATTCTGAATGAGCTGGAAGTTTTGAATGGCGGAGCTGGGGAGACCGGCGAGGAGTGCGTTTGAGTAATCCAGGCGGGAGGTGACAAACACATGCACAAATTGGTTTCCCGTGTCTCTCACAGGCATCTCTCTCTTTCTCTCTCTGGGCAGCGCTGGGAGCCATCGGGCAGGTGACGGAGGAGCTGAAGGAGCTATTGCTGTGGGCGGTTCATTACGAGGATGAGCCCGGGGTGCGCATTGAGGCCTGTAACAGCATCATCAGCCTGGGCCTCCGCGATCCCCACGCCCAAGCCGTGCTCAGAGATAGGCTCATCCTCGAGCCAGATCACCTCGTGCGAGGGTAGGTCACCACTTTCCCCACTCAGCCCCACACAATGTTTCTGCAGGGAGTGTATGACGTGGTGAGTGTGCGAGGCAGTGAGTGTGTGTGACGCAGACTGTATCTGCAGGGAGGTGAAGCGAGCGATCCAGGAGTTGAACATCAGCACCGAGATGGACCAGGAACTGATCCAGAAAATCAGGAATCAGGTATGCCCCCCGCACCACCCCATGCACTCAAACCCTAGAGCTGGTATAGACTCCACAGCTCATGTCAGCATCTCCTCATTGCTGACTCCAACCTCCGCCTAAGTGGAGCTGTCCTCCTCTACTGACTGAGACTACTTCTCTATCATCAGCTCATCACTCACCTCTGTCTGTACCTCACTCCAAGCACCACCGAACCCAATTTGTCGCCTCCACACTTGATCTTCTCCTCTGGTCTCCCTCCTACATCCTCACCCATATGTCCATCGTTCCTGTCCTCTCCAGGCTCCCAGGAGATCGACTACAAGATCCCCACCCTCAAATCATCACTCCCTCCCTCGCTCCGTAACAATCTTCAATCTCACTCTCTTGTTCACCCTGTTCTCTTCCTCCCCTCCCACCCTCACTCCAGTTTTGTCTCCAAAACCCTTCTCACTGAACACCCCCCCCCCCACCCCCATCTCTGGTGACTGGTGCCCTCTGTGAAGTGCTGTGTGTGACATTGCTGTTGTTGTGGAAGGTCAATAGGCTGTGTGAGAAGGAGCTGCTCATGTGGAAGCTGCTCAGACTGGAGGAGATCACACAGAACATCTCCGAGCAGTTTGAGAGGATAAACCTGCAGAAACAGCCTGAACAGCTCAAAAAACTACAGAACGCCAGAGACTACATAGAGCACTACCTGGACAGTAAGAAATCACACTGACATTCACAGATACCCTCAGCCTTCGGCCACCCTCCTACCCCTACCCTCATTCCCTCCTGATCCCAACCCCCAGCTCGGGTCCAAATCCCTGACTGTCCAGCGCCTTGGCATGTCCTCCCGAAGTGAGGCGCTATAAAAATGTAGGGTTGTGGGGACGGTGGGTGGGGGGGGAGGAGGGTGTGGGGAGTGGGGGGGCAGGGGTGCGGAGAGGGTTGGGGTGGGGTGGAGGAGATGGTTGGGGTAATAGATCTGTTGAAACCTCTTAAGGGTCACACAATCCACAATAACATTTCATATTTCAGCCTCAGGGTATCCATTGAAAGAGAAAGTCGTTAAACCACACCCGCAGATACAGGTCAGTCCCCCAGACGCACCTCACTCTCTCAGTCTGTCCCGACACACGCTGCTCATTATTCTATACCCCCCCCCCTCATCGCCCCGACGCCACTGCAACTGGGAAGTCAGTGTCCAGACACCACACGTCCCAACACCGCACGTGTCCCAATGCCATGTGTCCCAGTGTTGACTTTGCTGCCCTGGTTGCAGGTGATTTTGGAGAAGAGCAGCTCCCTGTTGACGTGCAGCAAAAAGGCGGCCAGGAAGCAGGAGGACGGGGCAGGACGTGACGAGTGGATTGGAATCACAGCTAAAAACCTGGTGACTCAGAAAGCCCTGGCCAGGAACCCCCTCCCCTGCTACCCACCAGAGCCACCACCAGCCTTGAAACCGTCAGAAATGCAGGCTCAGGAAGCCATCCTGACCAGAGCACAGTCGACTTCCCCCAGCAGCTCTGTGGTGGAGGAGGAAATTGAGAGCCCTATGGCGGAGGAGGCTAGCAGTGGCTCTGAGACTGAGGAGTCAGCAGAGAGCCCTGCGGGGGAGGAGGCTAGCAGTGGCTCTGAGATTGAGGAGTCGAGAGAGAGCCCTGCGGGGGAGGAGGCTAGCAGTGGCTCTGAGATTGAGGAGTCGAGAGAGAGCCTTGCGGGGAGGAGGCTAGCAGTGGCTCTGAGATTGAGGAGTCGAGAGAGAGCCTTGCGGGGGAGGAGGCTAGCAGTGGCTCTGAGATTGAGGAGACAGTAGCCAGCCCTGTGGGGGAGGAGGAACTCCCGGAAAGCTTCACTGTGGAGGAGATCTCAGCGATGGAGGAGCATAGAAAGAACTCTGCATTGGCGGAGCTGTGGGACACGTCCATGTTGGAGTTGTTGCTCGGTAAGCCTGTGGTGGAGGAGTTACGCAGCAGCGAGGTGGTGGAGGAACCACTAAAGCAAACAGTGATGAAGAAGCTGCTCGAGAGCGCTGTGGTGGAAGAGCTGTTGAGCAGCTCTGTGGTGGAGAAATCAAACAAGTCACTTCTCGGGAAAAAGAGCAGCTCCATGGAGAGGACAGTGAGCTCTGAGGCGGAGGAGAGGACAGTGAGCTTTGAGGCTGAGGAGAGGAGAGTGAGCTCTGGGGAGAGGACAGTGAGGTGGAGGAGGACAGTGAGCTTTGAGGCGGAGGAGAGGAGAGTGAGCTCTGGGGTGGAGGAGAGGACAGTGAGCTTTAAGGAGGAGAGGACAGTGAGCTCTGGGATGAGAACTCCAGAGGATTGAGTGTGAATCTATCAGAGGAAGCATTAAAGTGTGTTGATAAATCTCCCGAACAAAGGAGAACTCGTTTCTTGAAGCTAATGGTAATTATTTGATGGCATTTCTCTATGTCAGTAACTCCATTCCAGTTGTCGCTAGTACTCCTCCGCAAGTCTGAAGGTCATGGATTCAAGGTCTATATCGGAACTTTGAGCTCACAGTCCAGGCTGATCTCCAGGGCAGTGCTTCACTGTCAGAGGTGCTGTCCTACAGAGACATTAAGCATTCCCCCACCTTCCCCCAGGCCACCCCCCCCCAGCTTGGTCTGTCCCTCTCAGTCCTGCTTGTGAGTGCCCTGAAGTGAGGCGCAGTGTAATGTTATAAATGTAAAACTGGTTTATTAGTTTGAAATGTCTCTAAAGCTAGGAGAAATGAACAAGTTCACAGTTCGATATCCTTCACAATTCTGCAATTACTGACACTGCGCACACGACGGCCGTCTAAACCGGGCGTCTGTCTGTCTGCCCACCGCGGGGTCTGCCTGGCCGTCCATCCACAGCGGGCTGCATCAATACGAACTGTAAGCAAAGGCTTCTCCATGATGCTGTAGCGGAAAGGCAGGTTCTCGCCCTCCCCACCTGGCCAGGCCAGCGGGTAGTCAGCCATCCCTCCCTCCCACCCGCTCCGGGTTCCTGATGTGTCGGGGTGGGTGGGGGGCAGGTTGCTTTTGTGGGGGGTGGGGGGGGCTGTGTTGTCAGATGATACAGAAAGTCAGCTTTGAGCAAGAACCTGCTGAAGGCAAGCGGTGGTGGCTGG